GCCGCAAAACTTGCATTCAGTAGTAGAGGATGCATGAGGGCAAGATGAAGTTGATCTCAGTGCAGAGGCAACAATGGGGGCAGCAGAAGCACAATGGCGATGTTGGGATTCTTCAGAAACAAAGGTCTGTTGGATGGTAGCCTTCTCCAGCTTGTCCAGCAGTAGGAGAGATAAAGCAAAGCCACTATACTGTTAGAATTACCTTTTCAGTCTCAGACCATTCTGATCATGTGATGCATGTACTTGTAGCTGCAGAGCCTCGTCCTGAAGTCCTTAGTTGCTCACTTCGACTTCAGGCAAGTAGATACCTTGTTTCTCTCTCAATATACTCAGTTACTGTTATATGATGTCCTGCCTCATCATGTGACAGGTCAAGGTCCTTTCACCTATCCTCTCTGTGCGGGCCTAGCCAGGCAGGCAAGTGCCACTTAGTGCTGAGGAGTGATGACCATCCTTGGAGGTGGTACATCCCACCTTCAACTCTACAATCAAGAACGACCTGATAGCTCAGTGGTTAGAGCGGCCCCCTAGATTGGGCAGGTCCTTGGTTCAAACCCAGGTCTGGTCATATATTTTCCGAGGTCACCTGATCGGTGATTCTAACAGTTACTCACTTTGGACTTCAGGCCTTTGTTACTGCTTCGTCTGACATGCTGAGAACGTGAAACTCGGACAGCAGGTGCCTTGCACGTTCCTGAACTCACCACCTTGAACAGGTTATGGGCCCCACGCACACAGTGTTTTAAACTCGATTTTCATGAACAGTCTCAACTTTTCGTTTCTGCACTCTTTGTGTTTTCGCTCGAAACCGCTCTGTTGTTGCTGCTACTGCCACGCTGCCATGTCACAATATTTATCACACGTTCCTTCACGTCTCCTCGCACTTACACAATGTCACATCGTTGCTTTGTCTCGCAATCATGTCTTCTTCATCACTGCCCAACTTCACAAAACTGAATGCATCCAACTACCCAACTTGGTGTGGTRAAATGCAGGCATATCTCCACTCCCAGGGTGTCTGGCGCATTGTTTCCGGTCAATCCAAGGCCCCCACACTTTCCTCAACCCCCAAGGACACTGAGGAGGCTGCACTCGACGCCTGGAACCTCAAATCAGACAAAGCAATTGGTTATATCTACCTGGCTGTGGAGGACAACCAGAAGGTGCATTTTGCAAACATTTCAGACAATCCTGTCAAGATGTGGGCTGCTCTTGCTTCTATACACCTCCAGAAGCGTCCAGGAGCTTGTTTCAAGCCGCTGTGCCCACATCACATATCTCATATGGTGAGCTTCATTTGAATACTCAAATTTACTCTCTCTCACCATGGAGACCAAGCATAGAGGGGGTGTACCTCCACTACCGCGCACTATCCTATTCTCAGTTGCTCTCTTAGTCAGGCACTTTGCGTTCAGTCCTTTTTGTTGTACTATCACCCATTGTCATATATTAGTTCAAAATTGTTATCAACAAGGACAGCTCTTCTGTATGTGTTGCTGCTAAGTATATAGGCAAATAGATAGAGACAATCTCCTGGTCATGCCTACAAAAGTTGCACTCTACAATGTATTCCAATACTCTTCATTGGTTAAAAATACCTTGCCAGTAGATTGTCATAGTGACAACAGGCATTTACAAAGTTCACAAGCACTCAAAACACCTGTGTCATCTCAAAAAGCTGAGACCTGTCAGGTGGTCACTTCGCAGGGGCGGTAGCTGTTCTCATTGTCAAACTAGGCAATATAAGCCATTAAATTTATTTTATATTACCCCCAGCAATACCAGGGCTCACCAGAATATTCCTCTTTTGCTGATGGATTAGCAGCTGATGGATGGCACTTTTCAAAAAAAAAAATTCCTTAGCAGAGATAAAAGTTGACCTCTGTGAATTCTTGGTGGATTTCTTTCAAAAAATTTAGATAGTGTGACAGTAGTACCTACCTTATAGCTATAGTGTTTAGATAGTAGATCAAGCAAGTTTAATAGGTGAAAACTCTGAAATAGACCATCTTCTTCCTCTCTTTTTGAATAATTAGCTTGTTTTATAGTCAATTCAAAGTCTAAAACCAAGTTGATACATGCATTAGAAAGGTATTTATTAGGGCTAAATTGCCATGTATTGATTAAAACAATTGTTATATTTTTTGATAATATAATGTACTAATCAAGTATATCAGAAGGACACATCCATCTTAACTTATCCTGTTATTACTTAAGTTGCTGGACTTAATTCAATACTGAAAATAGACAACTATACACATCGGGGGTGATGGGATTTAAGACCTTTCCAAATGTGAATTCCCTAGGTAATCAAATATTTTAAATAGAAGTAGGCATTCTATTCAGATTATTATTTTAAATACAGAGGAGTATGGAGGATTTTCTAAGTTTCTGAAAGCGGAGGCATGTGAAGGATGATAATTTATCTTTAATATTAAAAATTTGTGCATGTTGGCCAACATCCTGTATGTAATCCCGGCACCCCCGATATAATAGGCATGTTTCAATACCCCCATGTTACAAAATGCAATTATCTACTCAGATGAACTTTCAATGAAATATTCACAGATGAATGCAGAAAATAAAGTACACAGATGATTTCTCAATAATAATAATGCCAGCCAAGATATATTAGGCATTATTAGAACCACATTAATAATGAATATCAAGTGATGGGTCTCAGCTCATTTTGTTGCATTTGCACTATTATTAGACTTATCACTGGCTTTCTGCAGTTATTTTGCATTTTTCTCAATAAGAACAAATTCTATTAATATAATTTTGGCAGATTTAGAAAGTATGAAAAAATGGCTACATTGTTTTTTTTTCTATTTTTAAACCATTTCCTAATCTGGTATATAGTAAATTATCAATATCCAAGAAACACCAGCAGCTAATTCTAATTCTATCAAAATCTATATATTTGCTCAATTTGATAGATTTTGGGAACTGTGGGAATTTTAGCCTTCCATCAGGTAATTCCAAATATACTTTATAGTAAATTTAATTTTAAGCAACAAACATTAGCTGCTAAATGTATTTTGATCAATTTTTACAGACTGCAATAATTTTTGAGCTCTTAAATTGAATATATTTTAATTTAGCCATAGTTGAATCTATTTTTATGCAAGGAAAATAGAAAGCTCACTGAGTGTCTGTTTGATTTTATTTTTTCAGCTATTTTTGCATTTTTAAAGGACCACAGAAATTTTTCAAGCTTTCAAGTGTGCCTGGCAAGGCTTTGTGCTCAAATTTTCAAACTCAGCCACATGCCAGATGATGCCGGAAAATAGCACTGAGCAGTGCTGCCACTTTTATGCTTTAGGCAATGATTACTAACATTTAAAAGTTATACATCTATGACTTTAGTATACACTCACTTCAAAGAAGAAAATTCTGGTCACAGATTGTAATACTGCTGTGCATGGGCTCTGGCCATACTATGCTTTTTTGTTTGGCTTCTGATAGAATTATAATACAATGCGTGAACTATCTCATGCCTCAAACAACATTTCCATGCTTTACTTATATTATTTTATAGCTTTAAATGAAAACAAATGTAAATAACAAGTTTCAGCCCTGGCCTAGGCATGGTAAATACACCCAATTCCAAAAAAGCACTGTAGCAGAGGCCAGTCCAAATTTGGCCAAGTTCTTTTGCCCATAGAAAATGCTAAGTTAATAACTTTAATTAATTAATAACTGGTGTTTCTGTATTATTAGCATTGTTTATAGACAAATACTATATTTTTGTGCTTTATATTTAGGTAACTGGAAATTTATTCTATTTATTGGAATTTTTTTTGGAATTTTTAAAATAATTAAATTTAGCAAAAGCACCTGGATTTTTTAGTATTTCCCATTGTTCTTAATAGGGAAGAACTCTAGAAGTATATTTTTGGTACAGGCATATTCAGAAAAGATGGGCTCATAGCTTCCATTTTGGGCAATGTTTTCCCACACTACATATATGGAAACATATTCTCAGTCTGCAAGCTCTAGCACAGCTTGTCACACCTGTTACATCTGTTACACCAAAATAGGCAATATTAATTGACAGTATGGATGCATGAATCTTTAATACTAATAACTATTGCCTGATACATAATTCTGACAGTAATAGGTACCAAATCCAACTAAACAATCATGACAAACCCTGTCCTGGCATAGCTGCAATTACCAAAAAATCTTACCCTTTACTGCTTAAATTAAGTACAGATATAATTTTCTCACAGTATATACATTATCAGCTATGAAGAATAAACAAAGCCAGTGACTGTATTATACAGATCTCTTTCATTTCAGCAGTGGAACATCTATGTCTGAGAAAGCCAAAGTAAGGAAAAAATGTAGAAGTAATATCATTAAAGGACAAACCAATCATCTTTTGTTTGATCTCAAGCTTTTTTGCAAACTTCTGGTCAAAAGCTGTTGCACTCATTTTGAATAGCTCCAATAAAGTTTTGTAAATATTCCATCCTTCTATGCAAGGCAATATTATTTGGAAAGCTCTATCAGCCATAGGAAATTTCCAGCTTGTTGTATCTCAGTCAAGATTCTCAAACAGCTTGAAAGATAGATGCACTTCTTGCACAACCAATTTCAACACTGTGTGGATTTGCTTTTTTAATTGCTTAATAGTAAAGTCTAATAAAAAGGAAATTTTATTTCTGTTGGCATTCCACTTGTAGTTGCATATTATTTTGTATATATTAACCAAAATAGTTATGAACAACTTGTGAATAGACATATTAGGTATCTTAATTGCAAACATCATAGTGAGCTGCAAAATGAATTCAATAGACTGTACTTGGGTCAAGTATGGTAATTTCTGGTCATCCTGTTATATAATGTCCTGCCTCATTATATGACAGATTGAGGTCCTTTCACCTATTCTCTCTGCATAGGCTTAGCCAGGCAGATAAATGCCATTTAGCGCTGAGGAGTGACATTTATCCTTGGAGGTGGTACATTCCACCTTCAACTTTACAACCAAGAATGACCACATAGCTCAGTGGTTAGAGTGGCCTTCTAGATTGGGCAGGTCCTTGGTTTAAACCCAGGTCTGGTCATATATTTTCTAAGATCACCTGATCGGTGATTCTAACACATCCTCAGACAGGCCATTAATATTCCACTAATTTTATAAACAAATTTGCATATCATTTATTTTCTTCACAAAATCGAATCCAGATGCCAAATATGTCATGGGGCAAAGAGTGTTGATTAACACTCTGAGACTGCACACAACCAGGAGATCTAAGAAAGGCTTTTCCTTTGCTAGGTCCAGTATATAAGCTTTTGCAGGATCTATCCACAAAGGTAAGAATTGATATTCAAAAATATCAACAAACAATGGACTGCTGGTTATAACCTCTTTTACTAAGGCCATGTGGTAGAAATTTATCATTTCAGTTAAGATAATTCTTGATTTCCAGTGGCTGGAGTTGGTGATAGTTAATATGCATATGAAAGTGTGCAATATTTCTGCAAACATAGCTTGCATTATTGAAGTTGCATAATAATACCTTCCTTGGCATATGGCATATTTGGGGGTGTAAATAACATGAAATATGTTGGGTTTTATAATCCTAATTGTAATTGCAATGTAAGTTTGTGGAAGGGAAAACATGAGTATTCAGCTTACAATTATGAGCTTAGCTGCAGAAAAATAACTTCAGTATCAAGTTTATCTAAGCTGTTATTACCCAAGAAAACTAAGGTAGTATTGAAAATATCAATATTTTCTTTATTTTTTGAATGTGCAATAATCCACCACTTCAATCCAGTTACAACATTGATAAAAATATTATATTCATCACTGCCAATGTATCAAAAATGTAATGCATCTTTGGTAGCTGCCAGACTCTAATAAAGATATTCAATAAATAGCACTTTTTTAATCTATCCCTTCTATTTATAAATAATCCCTAGAGCATGTGCCTCAGAAGAGAAAGAGGATTTCTGCAATCTTGTCCAAAAGTCTTGGAAACTTAGGCTATTTAAGATCTTTAAATCCAAGGATTGAAAAGCCTTGATTAAATCAGTCACTATGTTTATACAAGTCCAATAGGAACCATCCAGGATGGAAAGATCTTTAAAAATAATATATATATATCTGTCAGTGGTTATGTTAACAAGAAAATATACTACCTTGAATTCTGGTAATCCAATTCAACAATACTATGAAAGCAAGGCTTCTTTAAAACTCTGTTTTTTTTGCCATATGCTTGTGACAACAATGTGCTGTGTATAGAGTATTTCTTGGACCTCAAATTGCTCCATTTAATAAATTTAACTTTATTGATAATCTTGAAATACTAGTACTTAACACTATTTATGATAAACCAAAGGCAAATACTGCATTTTCCAAATTTCTGCTGACAGGGCATAATATGATATCTGTATCATTATTATTGAATTATTAGCAGAATATTATAATTAGTAATTGATAGGGCTTATATAATGATACTAATGGCTATCATTTGCCCTTTCCTCCATCAGACACAGTCACTTTTATCAGATTATAGCCTCAAATTGAAACAAGTATAAATATATAGTTTGCTTCTGCCCAATAAGGCAAGGCCAGCAGCTATTATAAAAATGGTTATATTATATAATCCCGGAAATTGATTACCATCTGAAGTAAAATAAAATACATATGAAATAAAATAAAATATATTTATTAGAGTTAGGTTAAGTTTGGTTAGGGTTAATAGTTAAATTAGGTTAGATATTAGGATTAGGGTTAGGTTAGAAGGGTTAGGGTTAGGTTGAGAAAGTTAGAGTTGGTTGGGGTAGAGTTAGGGGGTATATTTTTGGTTAGGATTAGAGTGGTTAGAGTTAGAGTGGTTGGTTAGGTTTAAATTCAAGTATCTCCAAAGATTCAGGATTCTAAATAATTAGTTATAGTAACATCTAAATCATAACAGAGGGCAAGGTGTGCATGTGACAAAGGCCAAAACTTTAGTGTTTTGCCATGTGGGCCCCATGTCTTTACAATGTATTTTATGCTTAACTTTGCCTTGCCTTTAGTTGCTAAATCAAGTCTGAGATCCAGAGTTTCAACCTGCTAATCACTTTCAGTAAAATTATTCTGAAATATAAATATTCAAAATTTACAAAGATGTCTTCTGCTAGTTTTTCCCATTAAAGAGTTTGCCTTTCTTATTTATATCAATGTGATCAGAATTAACATTCTTGCTTGTAGCAGCAGCGCTATCACCACTGTCTTTGCTGGCCATATACTATGGGGCCACCTCAGATACTAGCATTCAATTTCACTTTTCTTTATTTTCATTGGACTTCTTTTCTGCTTCATCACTGTCTTTTTCACTTTCATCATTTCCATGATTATTCCCACCATCTCTATTTTTTTTATACTTCTTTTATACTTCATTTCTTTCACTTCTACTGTCTTTTTTGTTACCAGTAGCTGTTAACCTTATCTATCAAGTATTGGAAGTTGCCAAACTAACTTCAAATATCCACACCAGCAAGTACCCAAAGCTTTGGACAGTTGGCCTAGGGCAAATCTCAGCAACAAGTCTTTACACATGAAGCTTCAATAATAGTAATTGCCTAGTGCCATTTTCTGGCAGCATTTGGCAAGTAGCTGAGTTTGAAAAAATCAGGAAAAAAATGGCAAGGCTGGCTTGAAGGCCTGAAAAATTTCCACAGTACTTCAGAAATGCAAAATTGCCCAAAATATGACAATCTAAGAAAAACACATTCAGCTGTTTATTTCTTTTTCCTTAAAAATAGATTTCCACATTACCAGAAAAGGAAATGTTCCAAAAAATAGAAAAAACCAAAAATGTAGCCTTCTTTTGGGGCTTTCTAAATCTGCCAAAATTATGTTAATAGCATTTTTCCTCCTTGAGAAAAATGCAAAACATCTGCAGAAAGCCAGCAATAAGTTTATAAATAAAAATATAAATTATTATAGAAAAATCTGAAAAAATCACCTAAAATGACTAAATATTCACAGCTTTCTAAAAATACTAATATATTTATATTTGGTGTATTCTTTATTGAGCAATCATACTGATAGTGCTATTATTCTCCTTTCCTGTAGAACAGATAAAGGTGTATCTTTATCAATTCTTGGTGGATTTCCTTCATATTTGCTAGATAGTGTGACAGTAGTACCTAGCTATGTGTTTGAGGTGTTTTTATGCCAGATCAATCCAGTTTAATAGGTGAAAACTCTAATCTGTATTAATAGTAGGATTATTCCACTTTCCTCCAGTATAGATAAAAGTCTATCTTTGTCAATTCTTGGGGGATTACCTTCAAATTCTTTAAATAGGATAATGGTAGTACCTATCTATATAGTTGTAATGTTTGTATAACAGATGAAGAATGTTTTGCAGGTGAAAACTTTAAAGTAGGCCACCTTCACTACCTCCTTCTGAATGATCACCCAGTTTCATGGTCAGTTCTGTTCAGATAAATATGTATTTATATGTGTTAGAAAAATCTTTAACAGGGCTGAATATGTGTACTGTGATCGCAAAAATAGCTACATTTATAACAAAGTTATTTACTAAGCAAGTAAAACAGGATTACATATGAATATCAATTGCATCTGCTATTATTCTTCCTACTGGACCTAATTCAATGGTTGAAATAGGTGACTATAGCTATTATCTAACGCTTCAGCTTTACAGAATTTGAATATCTGCTCAAATAATTTCTCCATCAAATATCTATAAATATACACTTAAAATACTGTATTTTGGACATTGTGCAACAATTAAAATGCACTCTATAACATGATAAACAGCATTGAAACCACCTTTAAAATGTACACAACTACAAAAAGAACAAATAAGGAATCTGACAAAAACTGACTAAGATTAATAGGCAAATGCAATGAAATGAGAAGTGATCTATCTATCACTTGGTGGTCATTCACACCAATTCACATCAAATTCACCCATTTCTAAGCAATTCTGGTCTTTATCTCCTATTTCTGATAATTTATAGAAATGTAAAATAGTATCCTGTTATGACTCAAAAATTATTGTCAATTTCTTTTTTCAATGGCCAAGCATTTGTGAGCAAATTGTTGTTTGGTTTAAAGTCTCCAACTGTATTCAAAGCCTCAGTATGTAATTGTGATGTAGTTGTATTTAATCAGTGAAATATTCTCCAGTGACAGCTGGAGATGACATAGGGAAGAATGTACTATGTAAGGACAGCTGGATCTGCTATTAGACCTCTCGGAGTGGATTCTTTCATGCAGAAGAGTTTGAATAAAATCCATGGGTGCTTAGGTATTGATAATTTGCTCCTGATATAAAAAACGGTGAGTGTGCATTGCTATTGGGCTATTAAATAATGCCCACTAGTGCTGCTCAGAATATTTCACAATATTCATATCCTCAGTCAACAAATGCCCAGATTTCAATACATAGTCCTGTATCTCCATATCTGCAATCAGGTTTAATCAAACTTCAAACAAACAAGCTTAATTTGGTCAAGCCTGAAATATATAAAACATGAAGGTTAATGAAATAGATAGTTATATGAAACTTAATGAAAACTATATTTATAAAGCATGCAAATTGTCTGAGCTACCATAAAATCAATAAAATTCCATAAATAGGGAATATGGTGAAACTAAATGAAGATAGATAAAATATGAAATATAATGAAATTATATAAAAATATATGAAATATGAAATTAAATAAATATATGAAATATTGACTACTGAAATTACAGGACAAAGCATTGAAATGCACTTCATAAGGTTGTATTGTTATATTGAGATGGGCTCCAGCCCAAAGCCTCATTTAATTGAAACTAAGTGGTAGCCACTAGTGTTTTAATAGTGATTAATATCTACAAATCAATGAGTGTGATATAGTAAGGACACATAATGTAACAAATAGATAACAAGCCATGATTTAGACCTGTATAATCAATACACCCCCATCATGATGGTGGAATAGAGAAAACAAAATACAAAATAATAATAATAAAAAAATGAAAGAAGAACAAGAAAAAGGTGAGAAAAAGTCAAATTAAAACAAAACCAAGACTGTTGTGGTGATGTTCAGATGC